ATATTCTTAGTTATACGATGGTGTTCAAGTAATGTTCGTTGAGTTTTTTATAAATGATAAAAATATACTGAGCATTTAATGTTTCGCTTAAATGAAAAAGCTTATAATGTAGTTTTAGTAAAAGCGGATAATTAAACGAAATTAATAAAAACGAAAAATATTAATTATTACAACTCTATTTTTAAGTTGTACGACTGATGTATAATATTGGCCTTGTTTGGAGCCGTGTTCCTTGCAAGGCCATTTGGAAGGGCTTAATAAAACTTAAGTTTAATAAATAGTGATTAAAGCTAGGTTAAAAAAAGTGATTTCTATGGTACACAATAAAACAAATTATTACTTGATAATTTGTTTTCTTCATTTATGCAGTTAATAAACGAATAAAAAGTGTTTACTCGTTAGAGTGGCCTTCCATGGTCCACCCACCTTACACAATTACAAACATTCATTCACTGGCTTTCACTGTGTTCATTCACTGGAAACATCTATCCAGGCTTTGTTTTCGAGCCTAATAACTGAGGATGGTAGAAATTAAACAAGTAACCGGCTTGCTAAAGAATGCAACTTACTCAAAAATATTTTATATAAACAGAAATTTTCTTAACCGTTCATTCATTGGAGGGTTTACCTCAGTAGAATAGTAAACAATAATAATGGGTGTCTCACAGCAGACTTAGGACTTTAAATTTGAATATTTGAAAAACAGTTTGAACTGAGCGCGAGGGAGGGGCGCAGTAGACTTATGTTGTTTGTGCGGATTTGTTTAGTCATTGCCATTTTGTCGTGTCAGTTACAAATTACGATGTCGCAGTGGTCGAGCGCACACCGTGCTTGTGGAGGAGGAACGTACTAATACGGCACGGAGGTGATTTCGATCCCACTACAATATCAGACATTTACGAGATGGACCAATCAAAAACATGATTAGTAAATGGGTACAGAAGTTTCAAGCAACTAGTTCTGCTACAAAGCCCGGGCCCGAGCAAGAACGGAAGAAATAATAAACGAAATCGCAGCTAGCGTTCGTCACAATCCGCGCTTATCAATACGCGAGAGCAGCGGCTTTGAACATAGCCAAATCAACGAGTGCGAAATCCTAACTCTGCTGCGAGACGAAAAGTAATATACAATCAACATACGATTGGTTTGAAATATAGACAATTAAAGCTGAACTCACATTTGTTCGCGCCATACGCACCGAATTTTAAAATTTGTTGTACGAAATCATATGAAACCTCGCACATTACACCTGCATCGCAACTTAATGGATTTTCTACTAAAACTGGTGGTTTCGACTTTTGTTTCAAATTATATTTTTTAAGAAATTGAAATTTCTTGTATATTAAATGCAAATATCTAAAAAATCGTTCATCATTATATAACAAGTCTTTACATAAAGTATAATACTCTCCATACAATTGCCTTTTTAATTTAATACTATGAAACCAGAATCTGCTTTTTCTTCGAATTTTGTTTTCTTCTTCCTCTGCCAATAAGCGGGCTATTACAATATTTTTCCAAAGCGATTCCGAGCGATAAATGTCTTCAATCTAATCTATCTAATGTACCATTTCACACCCAAAAGATTTGCGTACGGTGCTGACGGTGCGTACGTGCAAATGTGTGAGGCCATCAGTAAAATCGGCGCGTACGGCGCGGACAAATGTGAGTTCAGCTTTATACGGAAATCAAAACTAATAATTATTACAGATTTAATTAAAAGATTTTAATAAGTCCGAAATACCTATCATATCACAATTATTAAATACTTTTTACGGTTCAAGTTCGAAATTACAAAGTTCCAATAGAAAATAAGAAAAATCATCACTTCATCATGAAAAAGATTCTATTCTAAACAAACAAACGTCTATTGGAGAGTAATGGCGATTGTCCACTGCCACAGTCATCGGGACGTCAAGGAAAATAAGATTATTTTTGGCCGAGATCAATATGACGAGACGGCGATCGTTTGTCCACCGCGACGATCTCGGTGATTCAGTCGGTTATTTGTATCGGTTGTGCGTCGGCGCGGTGCGACGTCACGGCTCCGGTGTGGATGAACACGTTTAAATGTGTTTTGTATTGCCGGTACATTGGCCCGTCGCAACCTCGGGCCGATCTAGCAGTCGCGCGGATGTACTCTAAACTACGGAGGCCGGGATGACGGCGCTCGGGCGACGGGATTGCGGTGGACAAGCGGCTATAGTAAATGTATATCGCTGCCTCGGCGCCGTCATCTCGTTCTCGTTGACGTCCCGGTGACGGCGGAGCGGAGGGGCACAATCGCTCTAACGCCGTGCAGTTATTAATTTCTTATAAAATTAAACTTTATAATTTAGACAAAATAAAAAACCAACTAAGTAGTAAGTACATTTTTGATTAAAACAGTATAAAAATGTAATTTTCAATTCTTAACTAATTGTTTGCGTAAACTTGTTTGACTTATCAATACGGTTACATGTTATAGTATATTAGTAATACTTACGATAGTGTTTAAGAAATCACATTCATCATCATGATTATAGCTTATACAGGGTTATTTTTCAAAGAGTAGCCAAATTTCAAACTTAAGTTCAAATGTATAGATAGATAATGATAAACCGTTATTACAGTTTTTGAAAATACGAGTAAATAAGGCTTCTACTTTTATTTGAAATTATCCCAAATTAAAAATACGATTCACGATTTGCCGACCGATCTACTTACGCGCGTATCTTCTATTTAGGTATATTTGTAAAGCTCGGCAAGTTTGTGTTGGACCTCTTACTATCATATGAAATTTAGTTCATAAGAGTGTGTCGGGACACTAAAAAGTCTAATATAAAAAAATAATTAAATAACAATAACGCGACTGCAGAAAGACAAAGAATTAATGCGCTAAAACGACCGAAACAAGATTGAGAATAGAAAACTAAATTAAAATAAACTATAAACAAAGGAAACTCTACTTCGGTTTAGCAGACTATATTATAAGCTGAAATCCAAATTGCTAAAAATAAACCGAAAGGAAATTAATGGGTTACTTGGTTAGTAATATAACTATCTTATTATTTTTAATTCGTTTTTCTCCACCATTTAGCTATTATCCCAAGCAGCATGCGAGTTGTATTGAAGTTCGTTTTTATACCAGAAGCTATATTTTCTGGCTGTATAAGCGCTTATACAGTTTATTTATTAGTTTAATATTATTATTATTATTATATTATATTATTTATTTATTTTCTTATAAGTAAAAAACTGGCACATATTATGGAGCTTTACGCGTTAGTATCTCTGTACAGTAGCTGTACAAGCATAAAAGAGGCTGTATAACTCCTGTATTACAGCAGTTATTTGGTGTGCAAGGAAACTATTACACTACAGATATTGTCTAATAAGTAACTTATAAAGACAAAAGTTCTAAATTGGTTTTTGAATCGGATTGCAAGTGAATATAAAATAAAAAGAACGTTTATTGAATGATGGCGACATTTAATGTACCAACGTACATATTAATATTGTATTCAAATTCGAGTTGAGTTTGACGATAATAATTGGTGAATTGAACGTGCCAAATTAGATTTAACGGTAAACTTGTATATGTTTTCTAACGAAAAATTGCCGCGCCAGCAAAAAAAAAACAAAATAATATAAGGACAAAATACTAAATACAGTAACTAAATATCGGTTGTATAGGTTAGAATAAATAAAAATTAATGGATATGGTGGCATATTGGGGCACAGTGATCATTAGTTAAACTGAAATAGTTGTACAGGCTAAGACTAATGTCTAATATTCCCAAATTTATATTTTTAATGTTGTTTTTATGGGTCTTAAAATGGCTACAATTTGCTAAACAGTGTAAACGCTATTTCGAGGGTCTTATAGTCTTAGTAGCTGTATGTTATGGATTCTATCATGCAGCTATTGGTTTTTAATCAGTTCTATTATAGGATATTTTTATTACTTACGATGTATAGCAGTTTTTTTAACATAACATATAACTCTCTTTAGATGTACGTATAAAAGATGAACAATCTTGTCTTGGAAATAGTGTTCGATAAATTTTATTTAGACTTAACATGGTCTTTTTACTGCACCAAATCTTTTTCTTTTTTGCCACATATTGATAGCAAATTTATTTTGTTCACTAGCACAATATAAACACGCAGCGCATGCAAAATGGCGATATTCTGTCACTTATACAGATTTAAGTTGTACTATGGCTGTTATTTATTTTTTTAGTATTATATCACTCTCATAGACAGAAGTTATAAAACTACTGTATTTACAAAAGTGTACAATGACACCATAAGAATAAGTTTTAGAAGAGAGTTTGCCATTGTCCAGAAATAAGATTATAGCGATACTATAATAACACTTAGTTGTACAAGCAAGGGACAGCATGCAAAAAGACAGCTTCTATACGGCTTTAATGGTAAAATCAGATTGAAGTGTTACGAAATACTTAAAGTTGCATACTAGAGATTTCATATTCTGATTAAGAACCCTAAGCTTAATTAGATCCCACAATACAGACTTTATACAGCTTGAGCTGTATAATAACTCATAAACCACTCATATAACCTCTTTTCAACACTCTTATACGCATATAAAAGAACTCTAAGTTCTGTGTGAGCTGGTATATTGATGTTCATAACGCTTGTGTGTTGCTTGGGATATTACTTACTCTGAACCTTCTCTCCAAATTTGGCCGGTTATCGTAAAACAACCCTGTATAAAACCCAATTCCCAATAGTGCGATACAGTTATCACACAGCCGCAAGTTTTATTATAATAACTTAAACTAATACAACCATTATTATTACGTATAAATGACATATCGATTACCTTAAATCTTAACCTAAGACGACTCCTTGAAAGTCCTTAAATAAACAAATGGCATTTTTCAACCGACTTCAAAAAGGAGAAGATACTCAATTCGACGGAACCTTTTTTTATGTATGTTCACCGATTAATCGAAGATGCTTGAATTTGGAAAATTCTTTTTTTTTTGTTTCAAATGCCTGGCCAGGTGGTCTCATATAAATTTGATCAAGGTTTGACCAGTAGTTTTGAGTTATCCTTAATAATTTATATTGAAGTCGGTTGTACAAAATTTTTAATTTTACCACTTGTTAAATATTTCTATACCAGAAAATATCTGCTATAACGTGGAGTCGTTTTACATAGATAAACTGCACGTGGACAAACACCTAGACACAAAACTGCATACGGACAAACACCTCGACACAAAACTGCATACGGACAAACACCTCGACACAAAACTGCATACGGACAAACACCTAGACACAAAACTGCACACGGACAAACACCTAGACACAAAACTGCACACGGACAAACACCTAGACACAAGATACGGAACAATTATTCTTAGACCATACCACACAAACATTTGTTCTGTGCAGGATTTGATCCCACAGATCGTAAGCGTGGCTGCACCATACAAATAACTGCGCTATAGAGCCATAAATTTTGAATACAAAATTAATTGACAATACATAGTATTTTTTAATACATTGACTGCACTTTAGATAATTTGGTGATTCATTTAAAAATTATATGAACTAAATTCAAATTATCTTCAAGGTATCTTAAATTTATATAATGAAAAAAATTAATCGTTCCTATTCTAGAAAAAAACGTAATCTCTAATATTTGGCGTAAAGTTGAATAAAAATGGAATACTTCAATTGTGCTGCTCACCAAGTTTTCATTCATTTCGTACATGGGATTATTAAATGCTATCAACTCTTCAGAGTAAATATAAAAACTTACGAATAACCTTATAAATTTAGTATGTAATAAAACTCAAGTACCCTGTTGTATCCAATAATTCTCAGAAATAATGTTAATTGATCCCAAAACTTGAATTATTTTATAGGATTAGGGGGACAAGCGAGCACACAGTCCACCTGATGGTAAGTAGTTGCTGTGGCCCATAGACATCTACATCTATCTTCGTTAGCGAATTAAAATGTAGATGCATTGTCAGCCACGAGGACTAACATGCAATGCTGCTGTTAGCATTGAGCTGCTCTTTTAAGCTGGTATTTTGTAAGACTTATTTCCATAATGTGTACAATACTTTGTTTTATGCCATTTTTTTCAACATATTGATGGTTCGGGATAGTAAGTGACTTATTTCATAATTGAACTTACTATTGAGCTAGCAGATAAAGTTTAAAAGACATCATAGTCACATTAATAGATCCAAGTCAGGCGAATCCGGGACTAATCGCTAGTTTATTAATAAAACATCACTTACGTATTTTCTCTAATGAATAAAAAAGAAGCTGTTGTTTTTTTTTTGCAATGTGAAATATGTATAAATAATGGTTGAAGGAATTTTGCTTGTTATTAGACTTTATTCGGTAGATGGAAATATCATATACTAGCGACCCGCCGCCACGGCTTCGCCTGAATTTGTTTAATAAAATGGCCCAATAAAATTATTTCGATATAACAGACAGAACTTCAAGTTGATTTATCTATACATATAGATAAACTTGAAGGAATAAAAAGAAAAAAATTGGCAATTCTAATTGCAGTGTAGTGAAGTACGGTGTAACACAGCTAAGTAGAATACTAAGACTCATTTCAGGACGATAGTAAATTTGAAAAAAAAAAAAACATGGTACAAACGAAATTCGAATTCCTTAGGTCTGAGAAATTAAAAGATTTCATTTCATTTTAAAAATTTTGTTGACCACTTACACAAAGTAAAATGCAGGTAGAAATCCTTGATTATATAACCAAAAGATTATATAATCAGGGATTAGTTAAGACGATGTGATAAAACAAAGTACTGTTTTATTAGTTTTGGACACATTTTAGCCGACTAATCGATTCTGGACGCCTTGTAAAACATTGTCCAACTCTTGTTCCGAAACAAAGACGTCCATCTCTATTGATGCTTCTCGCTCGCTTTGCCGAGAATTCTCTAGTAAACGTCGGCCGTGTTGGAGACAAACATTTTTTTTTTTTGATGGTAGTCCTCGTACCTGGGAAATAAATCAAAGCATAAATACTTTGCGAGCCAGAGAAACACAAGAGCAACGCAGTAGCGGACATTAATCATATAACGCAGTAGAGTTATGATTAAGATACGAGAATTTACAATATATGTTAGGGGGAAAAAACCCGGCCAAGTGTGTGTCGGGCTACGCACAGTGTTTTTGTTTTTTTTCTTCCTTGATTTCAAAAACGTCACGCCCACACTAGGATTTTCTCCTGTGTCATGGAGGCAATTTCCAAACATAAATTGCACGAGGACAAACATCCAGACCCGGAAAAATTATTTGTAGGCCATACAAATCCTTGTTCCGTGCGGTATTCGAACCCGCGGCCCCCAGCGCAACAACTCATTGCTAAGCCACTGCGCCACGGAGCCGTCCGTCGGTGTAGAGGTAAGGTTTCGTAGTTGCCCGTGGCCTTCTCGATACTATGAGTATATTGAGTTCGCGGTTTGACCGCTATAATGACTAAAATGGGCCCAAATAGGAATATGGTAACTGAAGGACTTATTGTAGTAGTAGTAGTAAGAGTATATAAATGTACACACACAAGTGTAATAATAATCCTATATAATCAAATTTATTAATACAATAAAGCGAGTCTTATATCATCATTCGTTTGTTTAACTCCTTTCCTAACATTCGCCCTACATTATTTTCAAAGCACATTTATAGAGAGTCGTATTCAAAAAGATTAAAAGACTTGTCGATTTTGAAAATTAATACAATCTACAGCAAATCATTCACATGCAAAGTCCATACAAAATGATCACAGTTCCCTATCCATCTATTAGTTTCCGGCAGTGCAACCCTAACATATACCTATATGACCTTAAATCGAAATATATATATATATATATATATATACGACGACCCTTCATATAAAAAATCCTTAAATTCGTAATAAAAAAATATTGAGTGTCATTTATCAGGATAAAAACTATCCATCTCTCAAGTTGGACCAAACTGCACAGTGTGCAAATTTTCATTGAAATCAGTTCAGTAGTTTAGGAGTTCATCGCGGACAAACAACGTGGCACGTAATTTTTTATATATATATAATATTATAAATTCTACAACAAGATCACCAAAAAACAACCTTATGAATTTTTGGTACTACACCCAGTGTTGGGAAGAGGGGGCATCCAGGTAATTTGTCTGTCTGACCTCCAAGCAAAAGAAGAAACAGGGACATGCTTAGACCATGCCGCCACATGAGTAAATAAATTTATTAATTAAATAGTTTTATTATTGAGTATGATAGAATACTTTACAAATTATTTACTCTAATAATTTTCTTTTTATAATTTTGGTATTTTATTAATTTATCGTTTCTATTAATGGTGTGGTAAATGATACCTATTATTGAAATATTTAATTTAATTTAAAGACAGAGCGACTAGTAGCCAGTAAATAAGAACGATGTAGGTATTAATGATAAGTTTTCATTAAAAATGCTTTTAAACGCGTATTCAAGCTGTTGAGGAGTTTCCTCGTGAGGAGACTATCCCTTCTGCCTAAAATATTTACTAAAATGTTAACTGTCATCGATAATTTCGGCTCTTTTATTATTTGATTGACTGCTGAAGAGCTATCGTATCACACAGCTATCTATGTAAACAAGGCTGTAATTTTCGAGCTATATGAAAGTGACCATATTACCCTCACGTACTATACTTTACAGACAAAATTTCGCATTTATAATATTAGTATGGATTATCATAATTGTTTTAGTTTTACAGATTTCCAAAAGACCCTCACTTAAAAATGAGGTGGGCGCAAGGATGCAATCGAAAAAGTGGTTGGGAACCTACCTGCGTAAGTACTATACGTTCCATGTACTTTGATTCGTCCCAAATTCAATGTTTGCCTAGTAAACGTCGCAAATTAGTGTGTAATGCTTTACCAACATTACTGTTAACAGATGCTGTAAGTATTATCCATGTTATGTAATTATAAAATTTGGGATTGTTTTTTGAGGCAAGCCACTCCCACCAATTTTTGATTCAGTACCGTAAAATGCTCTAGCTTGACCTACCTAGCCTTACTTTGCCTAATCCGATCATTTGGATTTCATTAGTAGGCTACTTTAGCTGGAGAATTGAGTCTGCGGTAGGATTTTATCTCATGGCAACGCTTACTTTTGGTCCTAACAAAAAAATTGTGAAATGTCAGTGAACTTCAGAATTGCGCAAATTGTGGTTGCTGATATTTTGCCTGCACGCACTTCAAACTTTCTTTCTGTAAATATTTTAAACTATTTTTACGGATTTGATGAACCATATGAAATTAAAAAATAGTCTCATATCCTTGTTTCTATGTCTTGTTCTTCTAAAAAGAGTTTAAGGTGGTAACATCAAGAAAAACAATTATTGTCTGTCGATTTCTCATAAAAAGCGACAAAACTTTGCCCAGTGGTAGGGTTGTCGATTATTAGTTTGATAATAAAACTAGTGAAATTCCGCGGTTTCTTATGCACAAGCGTATATATAATAATAGTATATATAACCTTTACTTTTACATAAATACCCTGCAAAATACCTTCATTTAGTAATCTAATTAAAATATAGCTAATTGAAATACAAAAGTACCTACATTTATTTATTTAATTATTATTATTTTGTAAGCATAGTTATATTATTGCGTAAGTACAGATTCTTACCTAGGTACTTTAAAACCAAATAACATTGATGTTTTTTGAATTTTTAACATATAAGTTGTTTTGTTTGTGGCTTCAAGGTGACAGCCCTGAAAAATTCCCCTTAAAAGGATTAAATATTCAAAATCCCTGCCTAAATTTGCCTACCTTCTAAAAAAAAAATTCAAAGTTTTACACTTTGTGACATAGATAAGTAGGATTAATAAACCGATACTAATAAGGAAGCGGAATCTGTTTATTTGGAAACACATTTTCAACTGCGATATTTTTACCTAAGCAAAGTAGAGGAAATGCCATTAACTTTGCCTGGCCTTTTCGAAGCTTATTTCTCATAAAATATGAGGTGTAGGCTATAGGCGTATAAAGTTCTGATTTGCAGTTTTTCTTTACATGTTACATGTCATATATAAATTTTCTATACGTGTCAAAAAATATCACAAAAACCTCAAAATTCGTGCAAAGTTAGGGCATTTTACAGTACTTAGTGCCACTCGCACCAATTTTTGTTTCAGTACTTAGAACCTTTTTTATTTCTGGTATGTCATGAATAACCTTGACAAATTACAGCTCTATAGAGTACCAATAGTCTCTGCGCTAAGTCGCGGACAGACGGACGGACTTGGTGATACTATAAGTGTTCCTCGTTGTTGTACTACGGAAACTAAAGACTTTGTTGCGCTGATCAAACTAAAGAGTTCAGGTTATTTTAATTGTTTGCGTGTGTTTTGCTTATACTTGTTTTTTTAGGCTTAGGGAAACGTCTTAAGTGTCTTTCACTCATAACTTTTTTCTAAGTTAATGTAATTAACCTATAAATGTGCGTAAAATGTAAGTGTTGGAGATTTAGATGAGTGTGTGCCATAATGACAGAAAATTTTATTGAGTAGGTGTGCAGTACCGCCTATGTAGTGTTTTCTCGCCCCGCACCAAAAGTAACAGATTTTTTTGTTCGTAGCATTAGGCGCATTACTCGTCCTTTGTCTGTTTTCGAATGGTCTAAAGTCAAGACTTAGTATTCATACCTGACTAACTATTAGTTTTTAAGTTTAAGAAACGAATATTTGCAATTTAATCATCATCACTTGATTTAGAAAACAATTTACTTGATCGCTCGAATTTGGCATAGTATCTATAAAACGACCATAAGACCAAAGACGACCACTTGTGATTAAAGCTTTAAGCATAAATTACACGCAACATCTTTCAATACCTTTCTCTTTTTGCCTTATTTGAATATTAAATTCGCAAAAAACGAAACAAGTACTGTACCCAGTTTATATTAAATTGTAGGTTCTCTCTACGCATACTTATGTATGTAATTATTCTTACATATATCATTTATATTCATTTGCAATAATTTTTATTCCTTTTAATTCAGCTATAGAAGCCGTAGTCCTCTAATAAAATTGTAAAAGATAATTATTACACTTGTTATATATAGGTTAGGTGTGTTATAAGATAGTTATATACAAATATACGAAGATAGATAAAAAATATACCCTGGAGAGATATAATGTAGCGCGGCAGATTTCGCACTCGTCTTGTTCGCGAACATTCCACGCTCTCGCTGGTCGCTTACGGGACGGTTTGCAGTGGCGACTCTGTTTAGTGGGCACCAAAACAAAAATATTTATTTTATTATAATCTCGTTTACAACTTATCACTACTAAATTAATAGCAAATTTCGTAAAATTCTTGAAAATTTTGAATAATATAAAAATGAAGGGTATACGACCACAACGACAAGTTTTAAAGTTTCTCTAAGATATCTGCCTAGTTTCCGGGGTTCCACTGTTCCGTATTTAATATAGCGCTTTAATATGAGACCAGGTATGAGAAAGGTATAATTTAATACCCACTTCCCAGTGTAGGGAGAATTAGATGGTATTTAATTTAGTAAGCTTTTAGTACTCTCATTAGATAAGGAGGAGCTCAGAGGGATAGTTATAACAGAGAAAAAACCAACTGAACTCTTGGGGCTGCACTCGTTAAAAATCCCATTAAGCATAGAAAAACTATGTGAATAGCAAGCTATAACTTAAAATACACTGCAATAATAATGGTTAGTGCACCCTGCTACTATACCGTGGGTTTTGAGTTCGGATTCCATCTCGAAGCAAGACAACATTTGTAAAAATATTAATCATAATTTTCAGGTGTGATTGCGTTGTGATGTACCTGTGTTGGACTACCCCGATAATTTCACAAGTGTTACAACGGATACAACCAGAAAGCGATGGAACGGTTACGCAAAAGTTTTTATGTTAGTGTTCACGGTTGTGTGGGATTGAACTTGTCTCGTTGATCATTTTTATTATTCAGAACTTGTCGCCATGGTCTAAAAGAGGCCAAAAGGTAATTAGTATTTGAAAGTCTAGTCTAGTTAGCAGTGCGCTTACCTTATTTGAATACTTTATCGGAACGTTGAAGCGCATTATGGCAGCACGGTTGTCGAGTTCCTCTCTGATAATGATACTGAGGCTGGAATATATTTCCGGTAGAATCGACAGAGGAGAGCGAGGGTCTCGTGCAGCCGCCAATAAGAAGTGTTCTAGGGCAAACATCGTTGGTTCGCAGCTTTCTTTCAACTCCTGTTAAAAAATAATATTTTAGTCTCAAGTAAAATAGTTATTACATGAATTTAAATGGACAATAGAATCAGGCCTTTAATGACAAATTTATAATTTAAAAAAATAGCGAATGGCCGTGAGTTCACTTGTGTTATTTTTTATTTGCATTGTCTGTGTCCGACTGTATGTTTGTGTCTATGTCTGTATTTACGTGTGCACCTCTTATTGTTGTTATTTGTATGGGTTATGCGTGCATGCTTGCGTGCGAGCCAGGGAAAGCAGACCGAGTGTGTGCATGATTGTGATTGGAGTGAGTGGGAGTGAGGGCATGTGCATGTACGTATGAAAATTTTACTTACATTTGATGACTAAAAACGAAGTTAGGGAAATCGCACCTAAACGCATATTATGATAATAGGTCTTTACTTATGAAATTGCCGTTCTGCAGTAATGGCCACTTCAAACCAAAATAAGTTTTGTTTGGCTAAGAATTCTAATTTCAAATTAAATTTATTTGAATACATGGAATTTTGTTTTCATAATTAGTCATTTGTTTATTGATGAGCTTTATGTTTTCATCGCATTTGAATCTTTTTCGTCATCATCTCTACGATAAAACTTCATATTGAGAATTTTAGCAATAAAACCAGAGTAGGTAGCCCATTTAGCCCAATGGATATATTATGTTATGGTTGTGGCACAAATGGATAGGCTCGACCGGGAAGAGCTACACTATCACAGAATATAGCAGTTAATACCTACTGCTAAGTTTCATGGTGCTGCAAATGAGGCATTCCCTCCTAGTCCTCAGTGATGAAAATGATTTCTGCATTTTGGTTAGATACGGCACCCACTTACAATCAAGTAGACTGTGTGCTCAATTGTCATCCTTATTCTATAAAAAAGAAATCCTTAACCATAGCTTACCTGAAAAACTTGATGGATAGTCTTCAGCCATGGGTTAGTGGCAAAGTACACACTCTCCGATACAGTGTATCCTGTAGATATTGAGCAAGAATAAGCATTGGGGAAGACCAAAATGAATTCTCCAGGCTTTTGTTCCACCCTTGAAAGAGACACATTGTGCTCTAAGAGTAGATTGGGTGGGATCATGACTAAATCAGATGACAGCCAAATAGACTTATTTTGACATAATGTAGGGCAGAGCAACTCGACCGCTCTTCGGAAGTTTGTACTCTGTTCATCAGGAATCCCGTACCTAAAAAAAAATATAATATATTAATTTTTATATACGAGGCACTGAAAATTTCGGGAATCAAGGAAGTGACACAACATTACTATTTAAAAATGTATTTATTGCTTTTCGAAGTATTCTCCGCGAAATTTGTCACATTTTTCCATACGATGGAACAAATCATTGAAGCAACCATTCCATTCGGAAGTTGGGATCTCCAAAATGGCCGTTTTGTAGGTGTCCACAGCTTCTTCAGGTGATGAAAATCTCTGTCCACGCAAATTCTTTATTTTAGGGAAAGTATAGAAATCATTAGGGCTTAGGTCGGGGCTGTACGGCGGATGGTCTTACAATTTTATGTTTTCTTGCTCTAAAAACTCTTTTGTTCTGTGTGCGGGGTGAGAACTCGTATTGTCGTGATGGAGGATGATGCGGCGGTTGCAGTTCTCTTTACGGAGTTCAGAAACGACCTGTGGCAAACAAATGCTAGCATACCATTCTGCATTAACCGTTCTTTGTCCCTCAAGAGGAATAGTCGTAACATGGCCGGTTTTGGAGACAAACGTGGCCACCATTTTTTTTGCAACACTCCGTGAACGAACAATTTTTGTTGGCTTTAACTCATTTTCGAACACCCAAACTCGTGACTGGTTTTTTGTTTCGGGTTCGTACGCGTATATCCAGGATTCGTCACCTGATACGATGTTGTATACAACATTTGAGGATCCTGCTTAGAATCTTTCGAGAGTTCTGACGCACAAAGTAACGCGAGCCGCTTTTTGCTCTTCACAGAGCGAATGCGGTATCCATCGGAAAAACAACTTTTTTACACCTAATTGTTCATGCAAGATTATTTATATTTGACGCATGCCAATGTCTAAAGTGGCCTGAATTTCGTGGTATGTCACATGTCGATCTTCCTCAATCAGCTTACGCACAGCATCAACGTTTTCTTGGGTGACTGCAGTTTTTGGGCGACCTTGACGGGGATCATCACTGAGCTTGACACGTCCACGTTGAAATTCAGCAAACCAGCGATAAATTGTGGTTTTGCATGGGGTTTCATCACCAAATGCAGAAATCATCCGGTCAACACACTGTTTTTGTGTTAAACCACTTCGAAAGTCATAATGAATCATCGCTCTTGAATTTTCTCGAGTCAATTCCATTTTTTTTTTCTTAGTTTGGCAACTTCCAATGGATTCTGCCAGCAATTCCATTTTCTCAACGACTAAACAAGTTTGACAAAACCTTGTGACAAGACCGAGAATCTTTTTTTTAAATAAATAAATGGTATTCGATTTTTAAAACCAAGGAGTTTTCAATTAAAAAGATTTTAATATGACAGGAACAGTGGAAATATTCCATTCCCGATATTTTTAGTGCAGCCTATGTATTAATGTTAAGTAATAAATTTTATAATGCATACCGTATAAAACATAAAACGTGTTATTTTTGCCTGCTATAAAAAAATATTGTTCTACTCCTTGCCGCTCGGTGCGTTTTTGTATCTATGCCTCGCGGGAAATTTTGTCATGTCATTGTCATACAGTCATAACGTTTACGTTAATATTTAATAGCAATAAACAGTTTAATTAGGAATCTTACTAAATATTATTATTTTTGGTCCTATTTTGGTTTATGGCTAATAAAGCATTCTAAACCACAAAGAAAATTTCAGGATCACAATATACACCAAAGCAGGCCTCTGTCACTTTTGCTACCTGCGTGAAATAATTACTTACAATCGAGAGGCGACCTCGAGTTAGAACGCAGTCGGGGCTAGCGCGTTCTATGCGATTGAATGTTAAAGTTTTTTAACGCTATTTACGCAAATAGTTTTTTGTAAATATTTGTTGAAATACTCGTCAAAATAGTTTTTGGTATATTTAACTCTAGGACAAAATAGTTGAAAAAGTTTTAATGTAATTTAAAAACTACATATACTTAACATGTATATTACCGATTTATTTCATAAATTATATTGACAAAACGTCGTTTCTACTATAATTGTTGTTACAGTAAAAGGATTCAGATATATGATTTTTAAGTTACCGAAGGATAATAAAAAGTAAATTTATTTCATTATTTTTGTTAGATAAGTACTTATAGCGAAAAAAGAATGAAGTATTAACTTAACTAAAGAAGGAACACCTAAGTACTTTATTACAAAACTTAGTTGAAATTTACTTCACTGCCCAAGTACCTACTTACTACTTACTACTACTAACTTGTCTTTTGTAATTAAAATATTTTAAGTAATAATAACACAAAATACTGAAATTGAAACTTTGTTTAGAAGATTTTTAAGTAAGTTGAATACTGTTATGAATCGTATTTCTGGTTTATTTCTTGTTTACTCTATCTACATATTTCTTACGAGCCAAGCATCGCGATTCCCGACGAACAGCCTTGCAAGTTGCATGCGTTGAGCATCACAGAACTCACATATTAGCGGAAATATGGTCGATCATAGAATAGGTACTTTACCTAAGTAACTTACCATTTCGCAATGTATATTTTTACTCTTTATTGACAGCCCTTAGTAACCACGGAAAAATCGTTGTGACACAGGAGGTAGAAAAGATGCAAATTAATACGGACACTCGCGCGCAGCGGTAAAGTTTTATTTAGCTTGCGTGCGCCATTTATCAGATTAATAATAATTATGTAGGCTATTAAAGCATCGGCAAGCAGTCAACATCAAAGGAGTGCAACTTCTGTACGTAGTACTATTATTTATTCTGTGACCAAAGTGCAACGTCTGGTCAAAATAATCAGCTTCGATTTATATGTTATAACTGTAACAAGAGAGGGCATGCAAGAGATTGTCGAGCCCCAAAGAAGTCTGAGAGGAAACCTCAAGAGCAAAAGATGCTTGCATTCAGTGCCGAGCAATGTTTACAATCTGAAGCTGATATAGATACATGAGTTCTTGACAGTGGTGCATCTGCACACACGTCGTACAGGCTCAACTATTTATGTGAGTTATTGGATTATGGCCAGAATAGTGGTGGTACAACTGTGAGATTGGGAAATAACAAGGAACTAGTGGTGCAAGGTCGTGGAAATATATTAATTAATAGATGTGTGAATGGCAAGTGGGAGCTAAGTATTCTAAAAGATGTACTTTATGTACCATAGCTACGCAGAAATTTGTTCTCAGAAGGCATGGCAATAAGAAAAGACTTTGTTATAATTAAGAAGCACAATAAGGCCTTAATATTGAAAGATAATACATTTGTTATGTCTGCAACATTGAAGAAGTATAATTTATTTGAAGTATATATTACTAGTACCTAACCCTTTCGCTGTCCAGTGCACTACATATAGGTTATTGATATTGTCTTACTATTGTGTCTGAAAACCAGACAGTGAAAGTGTTACAACGACAGTGCAAATAGATTGTAATTTCGCACAGTCAAGTTTGAAAATCTGGCCTGCACGTTTGGGACAAACTTGAGGGAAGTGCAAACATGAGCAAGAATGGTGCAATTCCAGTAAAGTTAACAGATGACATCAACTTTGTTTGTGAGGCTTGTCAACATGACAAACGGAGCTGCTTGCCATTTCATAAATCTTGTAGAGGAGAATGTGAACCTAGTAATTTAGCCTATAGTGATGTGTGTGGACCTGTAGAAAATACATGTGTATCTGGAGCAAGATATTTTGTCTTATTTAAAGATGGTGCCACCAGCATGTGTTTATTATCAAACACAAAAGTGATATCCTAGATTCCTTTAAGAAATACAATGCAATAGTGAAAAATAAGTTTGGTCATGGAAAAAGTATATTACATACAGACAACGGACATGAGTACGTTAACAATGAACTTAAATCTTATTTGGATAGTGAAGGTATAGTTTATGAACGCACAGCACCCTACACGCCTCAACAAAACGGTACAGTGGAGAGAAATGCGCACAATCATGGAGAGCGCAAGATCTATGTTGTATTCTCGTGATAATCTCGTGGAATCTCTGGGCTGAAAGAGTAAACTGTGTTGTTTATTTATTAAATCGAAGTTCTTCTACCCAGACAAAAGATGTATCCCCATATGAGCTGTGGAATGGACAGAAGTCATCCCTTCAACACATAAGAGTATTTGGTTCAGAAGGATATGTTCATATATCTGATGAAAGAAGAAAAAACTAGATAAAAAAGTGTAAAACTAATATTAGTAGGATAGGAAAATGAATATTATAGAATGTTTGATATTGAAAGTGGGAAGGATTAGAATTAATATTTTATACGTGGTAGAGCCATGCTGCAGCTACATTAGTAGTATAGTTGTAGCACGAATGGGTCGGCTCGACCGGGGAAGGACCACGCTCTCACAGAATACCAGCGTAAAATAGCAGCTTAACACTGCCGTGTTTCGTATGGTGAGTGTAGAGAACCAGAGACCGTTTTTACTGGATAAGAGGCATTCCATCTTAGTCCTCACGAGTGACAACGCATCTGCATTTTAATTCGCAAACGAGGATAGATGTAGATGTCTATGGGCCACAGCAACCACTTACCATCAGGTGGACTGTGTGCTCGTTTGTCACTCGATCCTATAAAAAAATCCCAGTAAAGACCATGTAAAAACGAATTATTTGGTACTTGTTAAAGACAAAAGATGTTTGTATTACTTACAATTGTCACAAAGAACTACTAGGTTTTGCTGATTCTGATTTTGCCTCAGATATTGTTTCTAGATAATCTAAAATAGTATATTTTTTATGATGAATGGTGGGCCTGTTTCTTGGGCTAACAGAACGCCAAATACTGTGGCATTATCAACTACAGAATCAGAATATATGGCTGCAAGTGAGGCTGCCAAAGAAATTTTATGGCTTCGGCTATTATTAATTGATATTGATGAACCACAGTTGGTGATAACTCTATGTATAGATAATCAGAGTGCTGTCAAACTCATTCATAATCTTATTTACCACAAAAGAACAAAGCACATAGATATAAGATATAATTTCATCAGAGAAAAGGTAGAACAAAATGTCATAAATATTCAATATGTT